GGCTGCGAGGGCCAGGCGCGGAGCCCGCCGCCCGCCGCCAAGCAGCTGATGGAGAAGCTGCTGCCCAGGAGGGTCCACGAGGTCATGGGCACCCGGAAAGTCGCCTGGTACTGGGTGGATACCACCGACAGGGCGAAGGTAAGGCTCCGGGGCGCCGTGTCCTCTTGGTTAAGCGGGCGTGGCAGCGTCTGCGGGGGGCGCGGGGAGGATCGGGGGGACCCGTCTATACAGTGAAGTAAATCTGTAGGTCCTCGGTACCTCCCAAGTCAAAGCGTTGGCGCCCAGAGAGCGGGCACCGGGTGTCATACGCGTGGGGCCAGACCTGGGCCTTGGTTCAGCTGTATTCTGAATGCCTGCTTTATTTTTATTTTTATTTTTATTTTTAAAAGTACATCTTTATTGATTTCAGAGAGAGGAAGCGAGAGGGAGAGAGAGAAACATCAATGATGAGAGTCATTGATCGGCTGCCCCCCCGACTGAGGATCGAGCCCACAACCCCGGCATGCGCCCTGACCGGGAATCCAACAGCGATCTCTTGGATCCTAGGTCGATGCTCAACCGCTGAGCCACCCTAGCTGGGCTATTTTTATTTTTTAAAAATATTGCAAAGAGAGGAAGGGAGAGGGAGCACGAGAGAAACATCCATGATGAGAGAGTCGTGGATCGGCTGCCTCCTGCACCCCCCTTGCTGGGGATTGAGCCCAAAACCCCAGGCACGTGCCCTGACCAAGGATGGAACCCCGATCTCCTGGATCCTAGGTCGGTGCCCAACGGCTGGGCCACCCCCACCAGCCTGAATGCCTACTTTAGAATAACTCGAGGTTCTCCCTCATCTCCTTTTAGCTGTGGGAGTCCCCAGACCACATTGGGTACTGGACTGTCTGTGACCTGCTCCGGCAGGTGGGAGGCACCGTCCTGCCACCGGAGGCTTTGAGCCTGGAGGCTGCGAAAGCTGGGGAGACGCTGCTGTCACGTGAGCCACACCTCTCTTCGTGGCTTTCGGCTCTGCCAACCGATTCCATTTTAAACTGTTTGCTATATAACGTTCCCAAGTACAGAGCCTCGTTTCCACGGATGGAAGGGACGTTATTTCTCCCCATTGAAGGTAAGCAAATAATGTTTGGGTGGTGTGCGGTGGGGGGGTCTCAGCTATATTCATTCCTTCAAGGAATGAAGGTTTCAGCTTCTTTAGAATTAAAATATGTCCAGGCCAAGTCAGAGGTGCCTCAGGAAAGTACAGCACAGCTGTACTGAATCCTTATGGTTCACGCAGAAGTAATACTATACAGAGGTGTGGACATAAAACTGATACACTATGTGCAGTCTAAGGAGATTTCAGGAGTAGTTTTGTGTAAGCCATTTCGTCTTCAAAATTTAATCTCCTTGTAAGATGTGCCATGCACTGTGTTTTATGGATTTAAGAAGCGGTGTCCTATTTTTTTGTACATAGTGAGCATTGCTTGAATGTTTACTTTGAAGTCATCATTGCCAAGAAGCTCTGACCTCCAGTCGTGCTCTTGAAATTCTGTGTGTGCACAGCTTTTCCTGTAGAGCTGCGTGAACCTGCTGTTGGCAGTGGGATGAGGGTCGGGTGTGAACTAAGTGGTGGTACTAGTACCTCAACTGGCAGTCTAAATTTTTTTTTTACTATTAAGGCTATTTTTAGTAACCGTTTACTACACTAGAATTTTAATATTCTTTATGTCTAACAGGCAAAGAGATTCAAGAGACATGGACGGTCATCCTTGAGCCCTTGGCCATGCATCAGAGACATTTCCAGAAACCAGTCAGGATCTTTCTAAAAGGCACAGCCACCCAGTGGTCCCCCCCAATGAGCGGCACCCTGGGCACCGATAGCTGGATGCTCCAGAGTCCAGAGGAGAATACGTCAGCTCACAGGACGTTATTTCAGCAGCTGGTAAACAGGCTGATTGCCGAAGAATTGCATCTGGTACGTGTCTTCCCCACGCTCAGTAATAACACACCTATAAAGGGAAATAAGTGTGTTTATGAAACGCCAAGGATTGTCCTCCATAGTATAGTCTCAGTGAAACGTGATGTTTTTGTACAGGGCTCTTCCATAGTTTTTTATATTAAAAATCAGCTGGGGAAACTGTTACTGCCTTTTTACTGAACTATGCTCTTCTTGACACATATGCCAGCAGTATTCTCAGCTAACTAGAACTTCTCATGTAGGTTGCCAGTGTGGACCCTGGCGACGGCTGGCCCCCCATCACAGGAGTTATTTCCCCTCTCTCTACCAACGCTACGATTCTCACTGTGTTCCACACCGAGGAGGCTGAGTTTCAAAGACATTTTCTCCAAACAGCTGTGGCAGAGGACCCCCAGGACACAGCATCCCTTTGTTCCGATGTTATGGGCATCGTTTTGAGTCAGACACACAGTTTACTGGAAGACGCTGCTCCCTCCAGTAAGTTCGGAACCAACAGCTGACACACTCCAGGGCAGTGGGTTGCAGTGGTTTCCAGGATCAGGGTTTTTTTTTCCACTCTGCTCTCAGTAGAACCCCAGTATCTGTTATTAAACAGGTAAAAGCAAACTGTAGTACTTCAATTTAAATCATTATTTATAGAAATCCCAAAGCATTCTGAGGAGGCCCAAGGCTCTGTGAAACCTCGTTTTTAACGTTTTTCTTAAAGACTAAATGTAAAACTGTCTTGATTCTGCCTGCTTTCCAGTTTGTGGCATTGCTGTTATGCTACGTCGATGACAGAGAAATTAATTCAGTAGTTCTTCCATTTGTTCATTTATTCAAGAGACTTAGTGCCCGCTATATGCCAGGCAGCGTTCTAAGTACTGGGAATACATCAGTGACATCAGTGATCAAAACAGACAATGGCCTCTGTCCTCGTGGAGTTTACCATTTAGTCAGGAGATAGGACAGTGAGCTAAATAAGGGAATTATATAGTAAATTTGAAAGCAATAAGTGCTATATAATAAACAGGAAAGAGGGAATGGGGCATTTAAGGGGTGGGAAGGGTGCGATTTTAAACAGGCCTTGTTGAAAAAGTGGTGTTTGAACACAGACTTGAAGGAAGGAAGTGGCAGGGAGAGAACGCTCCTGAGAGAGGCGCTGGGACTCTGCCTGCTGTGTTTGAGGAGCAGCGAGGAAGCAGTTTTCATAGACACAGTCCCCTCGCAGTTGGTGCAGATGGAGTGTAGTTCATGTTGCCGCTTTGCATGTCCTGGGCATGTCCGTGGCGAGAAGGCGGTCGGAGCAAGTGCGGGATCTCCGCTTTGGTTCTCATGCCCTTCTTCCTCCCTTCTCTGCCCTGTCCCTGTAGCTCCTCCTGGTCCAGAGTGGGCCCAGCAGGAGCTCGGCCGCACTGCGCCCTGGAGAGCAGCTGTTGCCGAGAGCTGGTTTCCCTGCTCCAACCTCAGTGGCGCCAGTTCAAATCTGATGGAGTCATTTTGGTAAACCTGTTTTTATCTCTCTGGGTATTCATAATTGGAATCAGCTCTCAGTTATCTGAATGTGGGTGCGTGTTTTTTAACAGACCACATTTTATGAGTACAGTTCAATATTAAAAACGAATTTCATAACCATGAAATGGTTATGGTGTCAGATAGGTACTAGATTAATCAGGGGCATCACTTCATAAATTATATAAATGTCTATCCACTATGCTGTGCACCTGAAACTAATATAAAATAACATTGAATGTCAACTGTAATTGGAAGGAAAAAAAAGAATTCTGAGAAGCAAATTTAAAACCAGTAGGATCATATTAAAAACCACTTCTACTGAAATTAAATGAATTTCAGTTAAAAAATAAATAAATAAAAACTCCAAATGGAGAGCGTTGTTTAATGAGTGTACAGCGTCAGTTTTACGAGATCAAGAGCGTTCTGGAGATGGCTGGGGCTGACGGTAGCACAGCATGGTGAGTGTGCTTAATACCGTGAACTGTATACTTAAAAGTGGTGAAAATGATGTATTTTACCACATTTAAAAAAATGGAATAAATTAATTACAAAAATAAAATGTTTTCTTATCTTATGGATGAGAGAAAATACTTAGTATTAAATTTCTATGAAAAGTAGCAAACTTGTATAATGCAGCTAAATTTATACTTAAAATTTATAGACTTAAACTCTCTTTTAAAGAAGAAACATTAAAAACCAAATTAGCAAAATGTCCAACACAGAAAATAATACAAGAGGGTAAACCCCAAAAATAAAGAAGGCAGGCACTAGGAGAGATAAGAAAAAGCTGCCAGAATGAGACCAGTGCCCTCGGATGTGGAGATCTGGTTAATAAAAGTCTCTACTGTGGGTGTATATTTGTGGTCCTGTGAACAGGTAGCTTCGGCCGTGAGTTTGTTCAGATCAAGAGGGACCGTTTCCCTCCTGAGAAGGAAGAGTTTTTGAAGGCATCTCGCGGAGACGTCTTTGGTTAGCTCATCAAAAGAGAATGAAGTTTGCTCTCGTTGCCGTTTTGTCTTTAAAGCATTTTGGAAACTCGGAATTTCCGCCTCATTTAGACACCTCGCCTTGCCCGCAGGTTGCTGCAGGCTGCCTCCCCGAACCAGGAGCAGTCCTCCAAGACCGAAAGTGAGGTCACGTGCTGCCTGTCCGAGCTCTACGTGAGGAAGTGTCGCGAGGAATCCGCTGTGTCCACCCAGGCGGACGGCAAAAGGAAAAGTAAGCTCGCGAGAGGGAGGCTTCCCAGCAGCCTTTCCTGAGACTGGGCTTTAAAAGCTCAACATCCCTTAAAACGAGGTGGAAATGCTACCTGCACAAACAAGGACAAGTTCTGACATTTCAGGTCTGAAAGTAATGACATCAGTGCAATAGGGTTTAGAAAATCAGCCGCAATCCCGCCTTCTCAATGCACAAACCATTTTCAAATTCAGTTATGACAGAAATTTAAGCACGGTTTTGTGTGCCGCCTACAGAATTATTTGTTCACCTGCCGCCTTGCCTTTTCAGTTACTCTTCCACCTCACTGCTTACCAAACGTAGACAATCCTTATGTTGTTGAGCATTTAGGTTGGTATTTTTATCAGTATAAATAATACTTAGTGTGCGTCATGTATGTGACTTGTTCTTTGGTGATTTCCTCAGCATAAGCTTCAGGAGGAGTTACCACATCATGAAGTGGGAAAAGTAGCTCTTGGTGCAGAATTAAAGTAGTGGGTCTGTGTGAGTGGTAACTAAGGTAGTTCTTGGATCCACAGGGTAAATTTATTTTGCTTTTCTTCCCATGATCGGGTAGGAGGCATCCACTGCACTCCAGTGAGGCAGAAGATGAAGACCATGTGCCGCTCCTTAAAGATGCTGAATGTCGCGAGGCTGAACGTCAAGGCTCAGAAGCTGTATCCAGATGGCAGCCCGGAGGCCGCTGGGGACAGGGGGACCCAACAGACGGCCGGTGGGAGGACGGGGGGTAGACTGGAAAACAGAGCAAGGACACGAAGGAGTTCTAAACCTAAAGGTACGCCTCACTTCCCCAGCACTGGGAGTCTGAGTCCAGCTGTGCCCTTTTATACCCTCATATTTTTATAAGTTTCAGTGCTGTCCGTCAGCCCCCAGACTGAAGGGTCCTGGGCTTGATTCTGGCCAAGGGCACATGCCTCTGTTGCAGGCTCGATCCCCTGCCCCAGTTGGGGTGTGAGCGGGGTGTGCTGTGTCTCTCTCACATCAATGTTTCTCTCTCTCTAAAAGAAAAAAACTTCAGTCATATCCCTCAGTTAACAAACATTTATTGAATATTCTGTGCCCACAAGTGTGTTATGGGGAACACGGTAACTTAATAAGGTAATATCCTCTCGTTAGATTTATGGCCCAGCTGCAAAGACCAGTAATAAGCAGGTATATATTGGTTATATATGTGATGAACTAATAACACTAATACATGAGAGCCAAGAGTCCACAGCAGAAAAGACTTGCTCATTGGGGAAGTAAAGAGATAATGGAGTCGAGAGAGGGTAGGTGGCGGGAAGGGAAAGGAGTCTCCAGTGGCTCCAGTGTGTTCTATATCATTGTAATTTTGGTGTGGCTGTCGGAGGGGCAAGCACAGCCTTTACCTACTCGGCCATCTTGATCAGAAGTCCTCAATTTAACTTCTCCCCCACACACAGATTTGAAAACAGAAGAGGAGCTACAGTCTTACATGTGTGAAAGCTACCGAAGGGCTGTGGCCACAGAAGAGACCGTGTTGTGCTCGTGTGCTCAGAACATGATCTCCACCATTAGAGCTTTCCTCAAGGCCAGAGCCCCCCGGGACGCAGAGGTGAGGGAGCCCCAAGGGCACGTCATAAACGTCTTCATTGCTTGTTGGTGGGTTTGGTTGGTGTGTTTATCGTGCAGTGTGTGACTCAGAGACGGGGAGGGGAGCAGGGAGGGGAGCTCGAGTCCAGATCCTGGAAGTTGGGCCTGGAGACCTAATAATGCAGAAATGAAAGGAAGCATCTGTATATTAAAAAGGTTCTTAAGCACGAGTGGTATTGCAAAGCACTGTGTAGACCAGTATTGCTTCTGATCGTGGCGAGTGCGGCTCCTCAGACATGTCGGTCGCTGCTGCATGGGATCTTCCTTCCAGAAAGGTCCAATCTGCAGGCTTGTGCATCCATGCCCACGTCCTGTGGTTAACCATGCTCATTTTAGAGGTCAAAAAGGACATTCATTTCACCACTTCTCATTCAAATGCAGGAAGGGGGAATGGGCGAGGGAGTTTACCTCCCTTCTTAGGGCGTTCGTCAGCGGTGAAGAAATTAGAAATGACAGAAAGGAATGTCACAGTCTCCTATGTGGTACTTTTGTATTTTCAGATGAACTGCCTGCGTCACGTCAAAAATAACCTCTTAAAAACTAGCAAAAGTCTAAGACAGAATACAAGAGAAAACCTGGATAAAGAAGACAAAGTCCGAGAGTAAGGAACTGTTTTTGTTTTTTTAACCATCGCTCCTAAACAAAGCTCCGGGATTTGCTGGTATCTGTTTAGAATAGACGGCAAGTTGCTGGAAGAGGCTTCTGTAGCTGGTTCTTTATGGTCTAATACCCAGTTTGAGTCACCTGTTCACCTGACAGGCATATCGTGATGTAGAGAAGGCAGTGGCTCTCCTTTCTGCTGTTTTGCATATAAGTAGGTCCACGACTGAGGAAGGAGCTTGTTCAGCGGGATGAAAAGCAGCCATAACCAAGTCTTTCTTCTCTCAAGGTGCCAGCTTCAGGTGTTTCTCCGTCTGGAGGTGTGTCTGCAGTGCCCCTCGATACAGGACAGTGTAGATGACGCGGAGCAGCTGGTGGAGGAGGCAAGTACCCTGCGCAGTGTCGCCTGGATTGTGCATGGACAGTCCCCGCACCCTGCAGAGGCACGTGGTCATTGTGTACAGTCTCTTCCAGGTGGCGGACTTGCTGCGTGTGGTGTGTTTGGCTGAGGATTCTGCATACCTGGCCACGTTTCTGGAAGAAATTTTGGCATTGTAAGTTCGACGACTGCTAGCCTGACTTTAAAAGTGTTTTACCAAGAACTGCGTATTGCTGCAGAATCAGGGAATTGGAAGGACCACTCCCCATGCTGGGCGAGGGAGCGAATGGAGGGGGGCCATGGTGCCGGACTCTTCCAAATGTAGTTCATCTGCCCCGTAGGTACATGGACTCCATCCCAGAGACTCTCGGAAAGCTGTACCACAGTCTGGGCTTTGAGATTCCTCAGAAGCTGGCCAGTGTCCTCCCGACAGACTTTTTCAGCGATGACTCAGTGACACAGGAGAGCACGTCACCACTGCCCTCCGTGCCCCTTACAGCAGGTGCTTGCAGGCCGGCGTCGGGTGGCGCTGACTCCGACCAGCTGGAGGAGCTGCGCACCCGCTCAGCTAAGAAGAGAAGGTAGGAGCCCGGGGAAGGGAAGGGGCTCCTGGCCTGTGATAGTTCTGACGGGCAGGTTTGAACCACAGTCCAGGCGTCTTTCTTTGTAATTCATTGAGTCCACTGTGCCCTCCTGTCAGAACCACAGAGGCCAGTCACTGGGGCTCCTGCTCCATATCCCTGGGTATTAGGAAGAGAGTCAGGAGCAGGTGGCACCATCATCCACGGAACGCACAGTATTTGCCACCTGGTCCATAGTGCCCTTGGCATCCATGGGCCTCCAGAAACCAAGATCACTTACCTTTATTTAGATGATGTTTTATTTTACACTAGTCCCAGTCCAGTTTAACTATGTATAACCACTATTGAGTGTATATTGATCGTTCCTTCCTATTTTCAAAAGGAAACATGCACTGATAAGACACAAAAGCATTGCGGACGTCTCACAGAATCTTCGACAAATTGAAATCCCCAAAGTGTCCAAGAGAGCTGCAAAAAATGTAAGTCACTTCCCAGGGACAGGAAGTGGCGCTGGCAGAGCTGTTCCCTCTGTGTGAGCCACGCAGTGTCTCACATGTGGGGAAGGAGCACTGGAGCTCATAGAAGTAACACCGAATGTCTCTGTGCGTGTGTACAACCGTAATCCACGGAATAAAGATGTATACACGTGATAAAGATTCACCCTCTTACCCAAAAGTGTGACAGTCAGAGGCAAGCCAAAGTTAGGAATGGGTAGGCTAATTAAAAATCTTTAATGTACCTAAGAATGTTCATAAAATGATGACTGACACAAGCAAAGAGGTCACTGGAAAGTAGTGTACACTCATTATAGGACTTGGGCTGTGTACCAAAAGGTACTTTTCAGTATGTGTATGTTTTATTTCCATCACAAGTTAAAAAAATGGGTGGGGGCAGGGCCTCTGTTGTCATGAAGCCAGATGGTAACTTTTTATATGTTTTTATTGATTTCAGAGAGAGGAAGGGAGAGGGAGGGAAACATCAATGATGAGAGTCATTGATGGGCTGCCTCCTGCGCGTCCCCTGCTGGGGATCGAGCCCCCAACCCGGGCATGTGCCCGACCTCCTGGTTCATAGGTGGATTCTCAACCACTGAGCCACGCTGGCCGGGCTGTGGACGTTTTTTTTGATTTAGTATAGACAGGTCCTCCTTTATTTTTGCAGACCTTCCTAATTCTTTTAGTGTCTGTATTGGATGGATGAGCCATAATTTATTTGCTTCTCTATGGATTTTAGGGTGTTTCTTAGTTTGTGTTATTACAGTGCAGCCTTCAGGGTCCTTGGAACGTGTATCTATTTTTGTTTCTGTTGTGGATCCTTCCAGGAGAACTGCAAGGGTCAAAGGTTTCAGGTGGAATTTTATTTTATTTGAAATGCATGCCTCTCTTCTTACTGGGGCCTCTCTTTCAGGAGAACTCTCACCCCCCTCTCCCGCAGCCTCCACGCCCAGGGAAAGACGCAGTACAAGGTACGCTTGCTTGGTGCTCTCGGCACCTGTACGCTGACTGGAGGGACACAGGGATTCGGCTGCATGTATTTAAGCAGCTGCCTAGTTTGGGGTACTTATTGGTTAATGAGATCTGTCCAGATGCTTAATGTGGTAGGAAAATACAGGGTTCACGTGGTCTCCAAACTCTGCAGAACAGCTGGCCTGAAGTATTTTTAGAAAACACCGTCATTGTGAACGCCAGGAAATTAAAGGGCACAGTGAGACTGGTTTCTGTGACAGGAGTTGTGGTGTGGCAGTGAAATGCACGCCACAGGCCCTGCTCGGATCTTAAGTTCAGGAAGAAAACAGACTACAAAGCATACAGAGACAGTGAGGGAGATTTGAGAGTGGGTGAGGCCTGTGCTCCTAGGAGACAGGTGCCGAAGTTGCGGCCGAGGAGCCGTGGCATCCGCAGCTTCCTCTGCTGGGGGGTGGGAAATTGTGCAAATCGCGGGGAGCACAGCACTGACAGTACATGAATCTGAGCGACGGCTCTGCTTAGTGTGTTAACCTTTGACATTTTCTATAGGTATTAAACTTTTCCAACACTAGGGAGAAACAGAAAGTAACACATCCAGGTTAGCTGTCAGGCCATGAATCGGGCTCCTAGTCTAAGGCAGGTAGCAGGGCTCTCACCTGGAGGTACAGGAACGTTTCTGTACCTTCGGGTGTTGTTGGTGTCCTTACATTAATGTGTGTGTCACTGATGGGAAGACAGAAGGGCTCCTCCAGTGAGTGGGTCCCGCTTTCTTTGGTTTTCTTTCCATGCTTGGCTCTGAGAAGAACTGGCAGCAGGTGAATTTTTTAGTAGCCCCCACTGGGCCATTTTAAGAGGAAGATGCCGTTTTCCTCGCTTTGTCAAGTCTTTCTTGACCCTTCAGCTCCCCCTACCCCCAACTTTGAGTCTAGATGGTCACAGCTTTCATGCTCTTGAGTCAGGAAGAGAATTTAAAATAACCCAAAAAACTAGTACAATAAGATTAAAATCTTTGGATTGGAAAGAACAGCTTCCCTCTAAGTGTCACTATAGTAGTCAGTCTGCAAAACAGTTTCCTTAAGTGGCTCCTCTCGGTTTTGGGTAACTTTTCCCAGATGTGGCCTTTGTTAGTGATGACATTTGCTTTCTATTTATTTATTTATTGTTTTCGTGCTTCCAGAAGTGACCAAAGTTCGGAGAAACCTCTTCACCCAGGAAATCTCTCCAATGAAGTCAGCGAAGCGGGGGCTGCCGAGGAGCCACTCGGTGTCGGCTGTGGAAGGCGTGGGGTGTAATCCGGCCGTTGGCAGGACCAAAGGTACGCTTCCCCGTAGCTGAGAGAAGGGCGGCTCGGGCCCAGACCCATCCCCAGGCTCGCTCTGTTGCTGCAGTGAATCACTCATCTGCCTTCCTCTCTGCGGCCACCTTCTGTTTATTTTCCCCTCGCTGCTGTCAGCACCGGCTCATACTGTCTTTTATTTAGTCGTAAATACAAGAGCCACCAACTAGGTGCATAGGTGTGTGAGCCCTAATAGGTGAGCGCTGTTCATTCTCAGGACTGCTGATTGGACAAAGGTTTTGTGGGATTTTACATTGTAACCTCCGATAGGCCTCAGGCCACAGACCCTGAGGTCCCCTCTGGCTGAGTAAAAGCCGTGTGTGGGGTCCCGCTGCTCCCCTTGCAGGTCTCCCCAGACTGCTGACCAGGAGCGTGGCGGAGACCCCAGAGCACAAGCAAATCTCCCGGCGGCTGCTGCACAGACAGATCAAGGGCAGGTGAGTGGCTCCCTGGCCGGCGCTTCACACACCACACAGCTCTCCTACCTCCCCACGTGCTTCAGGACTCAGATCTCAACTGTTTCTTACAACCAGAGCACACCCTTTCATCCTGAGGGCTGAGAACCTGCGGGAGGTGCTGTGTCTGGCGGCGCTCACCCGGTGCAGTTGTTTTGAGATTGACCCATGTGGTTGATGTGTCCGGAGCTCATCTCTTTCTGTTACTGAGCAATATTCTGTTGAATGGATCTTCCACAATTTGAAAATCCATTTGTGTGCTGACACGGGGAGGGGTCTGCGCGTTAGCCAGGCAGGGCTGGGGTCTGGGACCCCTGCTTCCTGGTTTCCTGGAGGCAGTTGTTGCACCTCCTGGTGTATTCAGGTTGTCAGCTTCTCCGGCACCCATGGGACCTATGAGGCAAAGAGAAAATCCTGGGAGCTCACCACCCTGTCTCTCGGGTCCTGAGTCCCAGCCTGGCAGCCTCTGCTCTCACCTCTGAGAGTCTTCCCGACATTTGCCACGTGTAATGACCAGGGAGACAGTGTGTACGCTTAACAGGAAGACGGGAGCACGTCCATGTGTCCTGTCATTACTGGTGTCTGTGTTCTACAGACTGTGCAAGCTTATCTACAGGGTAAATTGTAGGAAGTCAGGTCTGTGGGTATTAGAAGGTATTTTAATCTCCATGTTGCAAGATGACTTTCCAAAAAGATTAAAAAATATATATATATCTTTATTGATTTCAGAGAGAGGAAAGGATAGGGAGAGAGAGAGAGAGAGAAACATCACTGATGAGAGAGTCATTGATCAGCTGCCTCCTGCACACCCTCGACTGGGGATCAAGCCCGCAACCCGGGCATGTGCCCGACCGGGAATCGAACCCCGATCTCCTGGATCCTAGGTTGACGCTCAACCGCTGAGCCACGCCCGGCCGGGCCAAGAAGATGTTTTAACTCTGGCAGTAACGTGAGAGAGCTGCCGCCACCAGTGCTAGCGAGCACTGTGGTCCCTGTTACCCTGTGGGGCGAGAAGCTGCCTCTTTAGTGTGTTGATTGTGATTATCAGTGACTCTGAATAACCCTTGTGCTCTTTGTCCCCCCAAGGTCCTCGGATCCTGGTCCTGACGTGGCTGTGGTGGACGAGTCCCCAGAGAAAGGTACCTTTCTTTGGGTTTGTTTTGGGGTTTGCGTGTTTCACCTGCTTTCTGGGAAACCCTCCTGTCCTGGTGTCGCTCAGCCTGTCACCCCAAGTTGCCCACAGGCATGTGACAGCTCGGCTCCCAGCCCACACCAGTAACCTTGAGTGGTGAGTGGCCTTTTTAAAAAGTATATGTGATGGAGTTTCACAAAATAACTTTAATAAAGAAATTTACTTGTTGTAGAAAAATCAGAATAGAGAAGCCAAGATTTTAATGGTCACTTGGTGGTCCCATAACTCAGAAATACTGTCAACATTTAGCTCTAGTAATACTCTTATAGGCATTACTTCTATACAAATATACGTAATACACACATGAAAACTGCAATTTTTAAATGTAAAGTATTTTAGAAGGATCACTAGGCAGTGGCCGGGCATGACACTGTCTGCAGGTGACAGTCTAGTGGGTCCCTATTTTTGTACCTCCGGTCTCTGCTACAGCAGCGGAGTGGTCTCAGCCAGGAGCCTGTCACACTTCTGTCTTGTCTTTGGTCTCACGTCAGCCTTGCTCATCTCCTACAAGGGAAGTGGCCACCTGGCATTTCTCCCTGTCTACTGACTGCTTCTGGTTTTGTAGAAATCAGTTTGAGGAGAAGTCCTCGAGTCAAGTTGTCACTCAGCAGGACAAGTTCTGGTCCCTTCTGTTCTGCGTCTCAGCCAAAGTCCCGAAGTGTGCAAAGAGTTCACTCGTTTCAGCTAAACCAGCTGGGTGACGTCCCTGCTGGTCGTCCACACCGTTCCTGTAAGTCACACATGCACGGGACAGGAGTTTACCTGGGGTTCCCAGCACAGGTCCATATCCCACCCACACGCGTCCCAGGTGGAAGGCGGTACCTGTTGTCTTTTTTGCTTGGACTGGCTGTTCTGTTACTGTTGGGAGGGCAGAAGCTGAAAAAGAATTAAACGTTCTGTTTGACTTGCAGACCAAAGAGGAAATTCTCCCGCCCAGAGCGTTCGGTCTCCTAAGACGCTGCTTTTTGGGGCCGTGTCCGAGATGGTCAGTCCCTCAGTGAAGGGTGCGGCTCGAAGTAAAAGGCCTTCGGGAAACACAGAGGATTCCGAGATGCCTGCAGCTTATCAGGTAGGACATTTCTGCCGTGTTTAAAATAGTCTTGCACAACACACACACGTGGCCGGGGCAACCCACTGAGCAGTAACCAGTTGAAAATGGAAATTCCGAAAAGCAGTGTTGGGTTGGCAAAACTTGGCAGGACAGAGAGAGATGAGCTATTCCTATATTTATGCTCACAGTTCCCAGTGTCCCACTTCCAACCCTTTTCCCGTCACCTGCTGCTGCATGTTCCCCTCCCGCCCCCTGGCCTCCGGCTTTTACTGGTGTAACAGTGCGCATTCCTGGTGTCCCCATTGCCACACACACTCCTGCCACTGTATTGTCCACACGTGTTACCCTGTCCATCCTCCAGCGAGCATGAACCTGAGCACGAAGGACAACCAGGCAGTGTTCTCCTGACAGGGTCCATAAGGGTCATGTAACACCGGTGGCAGCTGTGAGGCGTGGGCTCCTTACCTGGAGGCAGCGCTTCTGCACAGAGGAGGGGACGTCTCTCATCAGGGATGTTTCTCGCAGTGCCCTCTATATGTGTGTCCCACACTCCCCACCCTGTGCATGTGTGTGCACACTCTGTCATCGCACATGCGTGTGGGTGAGTGGTGGCTGGTCTAACACCCAAAGCTGCTTCCAGCAAGGTCAGAAACAGTGTCATGAAGGGAAGGGCAGCTGGGCGGCTGCCAAGGGAAACAGAGGCCCAGCGTCGCTGCCTTATGCAAGTTATTTAAATTACCCGTCTTAGGGAAACAGGCTGCACATGTGCTTGCTGCTAGAAAAAGTGGCCACGTTGCACCAAGTCCTGCTTTGGACATGGACATGTGTCACTGTTGAGATGAGGCCTTGGGCAGCCAGCAGCCTCCCACTTGCCCTCTCATCCTAGAGTGTGGGTTATGATGTTCAAGCCCTGAAATGAGTTTTCTTTACAGACGCCTAAAAAGAGCTCCTGGAGATCGCCTGGCTCTACCAGAGCTACGCCCAGACGGCTCCCGCGTGCCCTGCAGACCCCATTGTGCACCCCTGAGAGGCAGCAGAAGCCCCCTGCGGCCCAGACAGATGCCCAGCAGGGGCTGTGTCAGTCCTGTAAAGACTCATCGCACGGCCTGTACTCACCTTCTCCACCATCCATCACTCCACAGAAAGGACGCCCCCTCCTAGGAGGGACCTCCCCCCTTGGGGAGATCCCCAGGACCCCCAACAGGCCCAGTGGCCAGCCCCTTGAGTTTCTGCAGACTTCTACCCGGCTCCGTTCAGTGAAGTCCAGTCCAGCCTCGTTGTCACCAGGCTCCTGGCCCAGTGGTGGGTGTCTGAGTCCTGGCAGACACACTGTTGGATCTGTGGGAGCGGCAGCCTCAGGGGTGCCCAGAGAAGCAGCCTGCGTGGGCACAGCTCCAAGTCAGACACTCCAGCATCCCCACCCCCTTGGAGCCTCTCAGGGTGAGAAGCCAGCACAGCAATGGAGGGTTAAACCTTCCGGAACCCCAGCGCGACCCAGGGACACAGCCACGGTGGCTTCCCACCCCGTTTCTCCAAAGGAACCTTTCCCCTCTCCTGTCGGCCAAGTCTCCGAGAGTCCCCTTAGGACAGCAGCAGCCGAGTCCCCACCCCCCGAAGAACTGGATGGGAAGGAGCCCCTGAGATCACCTTGCAGAGCCCTGTCTTGCTCCTGTCCTGCTCCTTCAGCGCCTCCCAGGACCCCAGAGAGCGCCAAGTCTGACGTTATTCCCCGACCACCCCCTTCTGAAGTTGGGACAAGGCACAGAAACACCTCCAGTCCTGGGAGAGGCTCCCTGGAGGGCCAGCCCTACACCGCCGCAGGCCCTGCTGCCAGCACAGCTGCCAAAGAGCAGCAGCAGCAGGAAGGGGACCCCTCCCCTCAGTCCTCTGCAGGGCACAGCGACCCTGGGCCTGACTTCAGGAGTGACTGGCACATGGCCTCCCCTTTGCTGATTGTAAGTGACACGGAGCCTCTCCCTGTCCTGGGTGAAGCCGAGGACGAGAACAGCCAGGCTTCTGTGGGAGGAGGCGAGGGGTTAAGGCCGGTGGGTGCTGGTGAGAAGCCTGTTCTGTCTGACCCTGGGACTCCTCCATCGCGTTCTTCCTCTGGGCCTGGCTCTCCCCCGATACCCTCCGCCTCCCTGCGCTGTGCGGCCCACAGAAGGCAGCTCAAGAGCCTGCCCGCATCTCCTCGGCTTTCAGAGGCCCCTGCCCAGCTACAGGCCTACGAGGTGGAGCTGGAGATGCGAGCCTGTGGCCTGCCTAAGCTTCGAATCAAAAAGGTGGACACCAGCCCACAGCCAGAACCTGAGCCTCTGAGAAGGGATCAGAGTGTGCCCCCTTGCCTGGGCGCGCCTAGGGGCAGCAAGTCCTCTGGGAGACCCGACACCTCCTACCTGTCCCCCCCGTGCCTTCGCCCTGCACACGGCAGCCCCAGCAAGAGCGGCGGACAGACCTACATCTGTCAGTCCTGCACCCCCACCCACTGCCCCTCCAGCACCCCCAGTCCGTTCCAGACGGATGTTGGGGTTCCTTGGACACCATCTCCCAAGCACAGCGGGAAGACAACCCCTGACACAATCAAGGACTGGCCGCGGAGGAAGCGGGCCGTGGACGGGAGCTTGGGCGTCGCCATGGGCACAGACCTTGCTGCCTGTGGGTCGCTGCTCCGGCCAGAGGGCAAGGAGCCAGGCCTCAGCAGGACTCCCGTCTTGGGGGACTTTGAGCTTGAGGGAGTGTGCCAGCTGCCAGACCAGTCCCCTCCGGGTGACAGTGTGTCCGAGGCCGAGGAATTCTGGGCGCAGTCTGCATGGGCCTCCAGGAAGAGGCTCCTCTCTGGCGAGGAGGAAGCACAGTGTGAAGCCAAGAGAGTCTGTGACCAGCAGAGGGAGGACTCAGGAGTTCCGAGCGAGGCCAGGTCTCCAGCTGCGGGCGCGTGGCAGCTCCTGTCCTCGGGGGAGGACGAGGCAGGCGTTCCAGGTGAGTGGTGACCGTGCCTGGCCTGCCCGGGCCTCCGTCGGGCTCTGCTGGGCCGTGCTGACCGTGTCGTTCCTGCAGGTTCCACGCCGCCTCCCGGCCACACCGTGCGGAGCTGCCTCTCTGCCCGTGGGCTCCAGGCTCTGACCCAGTCTCCTCTGCTGTTCCGAGGGAGGACACCCTCCTCTCAGGGCAGGGACGCCACAGGTATGTCCTGGAGGGTCCTGGAGATTCACCCACATCGGACCTGTGTCCTTCCGGCGACTCCCCGGAGTTAGCTCAGGTGCCAGGCAGTCGGAGTAGGGGGGACTGTTCAGCTGTGGGACAGGACGTGTGCTGTGCTGCGCCCCCCTCTGGAAATGCCCTGTTAGAACAGAAACCCCACAAAATCCTACCAAAACACTTGAGGTTCCTGAAGAGGTGACAGGTGGGCACTCGGTGTGGTCCCTGGGGTCGGAGCAGTTCCCTCCATGTGACAGGAGCAGCTGTTGCCGTCAGCCTCTGACTCTGGGCCCCCTCCCTCGTCCCACAGGCAGAGGACCAGGCTGAGCCTGAGCTGCTCGGGTTAGAGGGTTTCCTTCCTCGAGATCGGAGGGCGGTGCAGGAGGCGGCCCTTCAGTGGGTCTGTCCCCTGGAGGCCATGACAGAGAGCACCCAAAATAGCCTGAACCCCACAGGTCTGAGACAGAACGAAGGCGCAGGTGGTGAAGGGCGGCAGGTGCTTTCCTTGGTGCGGGCGACGTTCGCAGGAGATCATGCAGCCCTGCGGTCCGGGCCCCGGCCTCTGCTGCCCCCTCAGCTGCCCCCTCTGTCTGCCTCTAGATGAGGAGGGGGATGTGTTTTCCCCCGCGGCCGAGGACTCTCCTTTCAGCCGAGCATTTTCCCGGACTCGCCCCGTCAGCAGGACTTACTCACGGAAGAAACTGATCAGCTAGCGGGATGGACCGGACGGGACTTCCAACCGCAAACACTACAGAGCCTGTCCGCAGCCCCTGCTCCCAGACAGTGTCCGGGGCTGTGCCCTGGGCGTGGCGGGCACAGCAGACGCCTGCCTCCCTTAGGGATTCCTAGCGGCTCGTGAGCCAGGGCCTGCTGCACGGGAACAGGGATAGCTGGGGCCTAATGGAACTGGGCAAGTTCAAAGGTGAAGGTAAGGGCACCGGTCCCGAGCCTCCACCCACCCAGGCCCTGGCCCTTGTTGGGAGGTGGGGCACCTAGTGCGGTACCAGGGCAGCCTGGGCCAGGAGCCCACCCCAGCCCCACCCTGACTGGGACCAGGCCTCCTCCCTTGTGCAGCTGCTCTAAGGCTGGGCCCCGAGGCTGACGCGTGGCAGGCGGCAGGGCGAACCTTTCCCTTTCCCTTTCCCAATAAAGTTTCTTCTGGCTGCTTGGAGTCTGCACGTTTCTGTGTCGTGTTCTCGCCTGAGGTTCACTGTGGCCCTGCCCGGCTCTGCTTCCTGGGGAGCTGCGCCTCAGGGTCTGCCCGGGAGCCAGCCCCGGGCACCGTCCTCGCGGGGCGGGGGAGACTCACCTAGTCGGTCTTGGCCAGGCCTGAGCCACAGCTGTCCCGTGGCCTCTGAAGAACCCTCAAGCCTGCTGTGTTCCCAGGTCTGGCCCCTACTACTGTCAAAGTGAAAATTCCCACTTGTCATTTATTATAAAAAAGTTTTACAAAATTTTAAAAATGTGATGTTTCCCAATTCCCGCCATGTACACGACCCCGTAAACCACAGGCTGTTCTATGAGCAGCCTGGGCCGAGCCCCAGGACTCAGGCACATACAGAGACCAGAGCTGTCCTGAAACAAGCCAGGGGTGCCTGTGGGCACCTCCGCTTAATGGAAGCGAGTGGTGGGGGGTCTGCTTTAAAAAAAAAAACCACAAAAAACAGTCCAGTTCATGTGGGTTGACCCGTCGTGTGAAGCTGGCCTGGAGTGGGGCGAGGTGAGGACTCCCTCGCAGAATGGACGCGCACCGTCCCTCGGGGGGCTCTGCCGGGCTAGAGGGGGTTTCTCCTGACGTCGATCATGCCCGGGCTGGGCCTCCGCAGCTCCCGCCGGGGCCTGGCCACAGGCGCGGACCCGAGGTTCCAGGGCAGACCCGCCTCCCCCACAGACAGCACTCGCCCTGCAGGGGGCTCCTCCGGGGAGCCCTGCTCCTCGCCGCCCAGGCTGGAGCGCTTCCACGTCTGCGGGAGCGGGGCGTGCACCAGGTCCCGCACCTCCTCCCGGGCACGGGGGGCGCCCTCGGCCTGGGGCGGCTGCCAGAGCGGCTCGGGTGCTGCGTGGAGCTCCTCGTTTCCGGGGGGCTGTCTGCTCTCCGGGCACAGGGGCTTCTCCCCGCCTGCCAAAGGGAAGGGACGCCCGGGTCAGCAAGGGAGGCGGCAGCCCCCTCCCGGGCCCCAGCACAGTGAGCAGCGAGGGAAGTGACCCAGGAAGGGCCTCTCCCCACACAAGGCCAGGGAGCCCGAGCCCGGCCAGGCGGGCAGGCACCCGGGGGTGCGGGAGCACTTACCCCTG